AAGGAAAAAGATCTGGGGGTGAGTATAACACCGAGCATATCTCCTGAGGGGCACATCAATCAGATAACTGCTGCAGCATACGGGCGCCTGGCAAACCTACGGATAGCGTTCCGATACCTCAGTAAGGATTCGTTTAAGACTCTGTATACCATTTACGTCAGGCCCATACTGGAGTACAGCACCAGTTTGGAATCCCCCCTAGTCAACACATAAAGAATTAGAAAAGTGCAAAGGGTTTTCAACAAAATAGTCCCAGAGCTACGGGGATTTTCCTACGGAAAAAGGTTTAGGGAAATCGGGCCCGAGACACTGGAGGGAAGAAGAGTCAGGGGGGAATGTAATGACATATAAAATACTGGCGGAATAGAAAAGGGGGAAAAGACGGGTTTTTCCCGAGAAGGGCACAGACACAAGAGGTACAATTGGAAGTTGAAGACTCGGATGGGGGTCAAAGGTGTTAGGGAATATTTCTTCGTCATAGATAGTCAGGCCGTGGGAAAAGCCTAAAAGTGCGTGGGAGGCGGGAACCCTACATATTTTAAGGGGAGGTATGATAGAGTCATGGGGGAGGGAGAGGTGGACCTAGTAGCAATAGCGAAAGGCGGGGGGAGGGCTGTGACTCGACCCCTTCAACCACAAATAGGCGAGTACACAACACACACACCACAAGGTTGCAAAACCCTAGAGAGCGAAACGTTTCCCAAAAAATTCACATTTCAGTTTTGGTCTTTTACCTAACATATTGTCAGTAATATTATCAACATTATTACAGTTTACACATTTCTCTTAAGTGTGTTCCTTAGTACAGTAGACCCTCGGTTATCGGCCATAATCCGTTCCAGGAGGTCGGCCGATGACTGAAATGGCCAAAAACCAAATTAATATTTCCCATAAGAATTAATGGAAATACAATTAATCCGTTCCAGACAAAAATATTCACAAAAAAAAAATTAACAATTATGTAAGTTTTACATACCTTTATTGAAGGCTAATGCTAGCTTCTGGAAGATAGGGAAGAGGAAAGAGTTAATGTTTGGAAGGGAAATCCCCCTCCATAAAGACTTTAGGTATCAAAGTCTTCTCTGGGGTTACTTCCCTTCTTTGTCTTTTAATGCCACTAGGACCAGCTTGAGTCACTGGACCCCTGTCTCTCGTCAAATCTGTCCATAGAGGTCTGTTTCTGGCATCTCTCTAAGATATCCCTGAAGTGGGACAAGATTTTGTCACTGAACATGTTGCAGATATGGCTTGTTTCAGCTTGGTCAGGGTGGTGTTTCTCTACAAAAGCTTGCACCCTAGTCCACATTGTACACACCTCTTTAATCTCTGTCATTTACTGCTACAGTGCATTCATTACTAACCTTAAAATATTTGTAGTCTTAATGTAGGGCAAGTGGTGAGTAGTATTTATTTGTAGGAAGTCAGTGTAGGTAGCAGTAGATGTAGGCACAGTACACATATATAGCCCCCCCTGGGCTACACTACACGGTTATATTACAATACACAGCCATATTATTACCATGTTCACTGAGTTTAATCATTTCTAACAACTACCATCATCAACAAAGGGAGAAGTAATGAATAATTCATGCCAAGAATTGTAAACAAATGCGTATGAAGGGCGGTTACTGCACCAGCCGCCAGAGTCACAGTTTTCTCTTACGCTGCGGCAGAGAAAGCGTAATGTTTACTCTCCATCCCACTCTCCATTCGATGACATATAAACATTGCATGTTTATATGCTATATTTATATGCTGCATGATATGTAACATGTTTCTTATACAGTGGACCCCCGCATAACGATGGCATCGCATAGCGATTTTTCCGCATAACGATTACTTTTATCGCAAAATTTTTTCCCCGCATACCGATTAAAAACCCGCATACCGATTTTCGTCCGAGACGCGTCCAATGTGCCCTCAGCCAGCCTCACATGTGCCGCTCCGTCCCATTGTTTACCAGCCAGCCTCCGCGGTAACATCCAAGCATACACTCGGAATATTTCGTATTATTACAGTATTTTCGGTGCTGTTTCTGGAAAATAAGTGACCATGGGCCCCAAGAAAGCTTCTAGTGCCAACCCTGTGGTAAAAAGGGTGAGAATTAGTATGGAAATTAAGAAAGATTTTGAAGGGTTTGGGGCTAACCCTGAGAAGCCTATGCCAGTTGTGGAATCCATTGTGCCTACTTCAAAGATTAAGGAAATGTGTGCACAGTGGGTTGAACTGCAAACCTTTATAGATGAAAATCACCCTGACACAGCTGTTGCAAGCCGTGCTGGTGACTATTTCAATGACAATGTTGTGGCCCATTTTAGACAAATCGTAAAGGAACGGAGAGGTACAGAGCTCTATGGACAGATTTGTTGTGCGACAGAGGTCCAGTGACTCTCAAGCTGGTCCTAGTGGCATTAAAAGAAGAAGGGAAGTAACCCGGAAAAGGACTTGCTACCTCAAGTCGTAAATGGAAGGGGATTCCCCTTCTAAACAGTAAGAAGATAATGCTCTCCCCTCCTCCCATCCCATCAATCATCACCAGATCTTCAATAAAAGTAAGTGTCATTTAATTGTGCATGCCTTTTTCAGTTTGTGTGTATTAAAATTAACATTTCATGTGGTAAAAAAAAATTTTTTTCATACTTTTGGGCGTCTTGCACGGATTAATTTTATTTCCATTATTTCTTATGGGGAAAATTCATTCGCATAACGATTATTTCGCATAACGATGAGCCCTCTTGCACGGATTAAAATCGTTAACCGGGGGTCCACTGTATAATTTTGAAGAAAATATCATAGATGGATTAATGAAAATGTCTATATTAATGTAAAATAAGACATTTAATGTGGCAAAGAGTGATTATTAAATATACATCGCATATAATAAACATTGCATGTTTATATCCTATGTAACATGTTTCTTACATAATTTTGAAGAAGATATATTAGATGGATTAATGAAAATGTCTATATTAACGTAAAATAAGACATTTAATGTACCAGTGATTATTATTAAATATACATCGCATATAAACATTGCATGTTTTCATATACTATGTAACGTGTTTCTTTGGGCCCATGGTTGCTTATTTTGCAGTTGTACTCGATCAATATCCACAAAAAAAAATGGATTATAGCAAAGTGTTTGGATGACTGAGCAGAAGCTTCCTCACTCGCCCAGAGACAAAGCCAAACTGACTCGCAAGCGGCCCGAGCCGGCGGATGGATGCCTCCCAAATGGCCGATAACCGAATTAACGGCCGATACCCAGGTGCCGAAAAACCAGCCGATAACTGGGGTCCACTGTATTTCTTATTCTACTAATACACCTACCATCCCACTTACGACCTGCTCGACATACGACCACTCTGGGAAATAAACAAGTGTTTGTGTTGTACACAGTGTTTATCCTAAACCTTACAGTATAAAATACAGTACTAACAGCATAAAAAGTAAAACATGAAACACTAAAACAAAACAATAAAATAAAGTCATTACAAAAATGTTATGTTGATATTCAGTAGTAAAGTTCGACTTACGTCCATTTTGACTTACGACCGGTTTCTTGGAACCAAACTCAGTCGTAAGTCGGATGGTAGGTGTACTTCCTGCTTAATATAAGTTGGAGCAGCAGAGGCAGTGATCTCCAAAACTATTAAAAATATATTAACCCTTTCAGGGTCCAGAGGCCAAATTTCAAAGTGTGCACCAGGGTCCAAGAATTTTCAAAAAATAATTTTGTTATTTTTTCTTATGAAATGGTAGAGAATCTTTTTCTGAGGGTAATAAAACAAAAAGTACGAAATTTAATGTAAAATTGACAAAATTATTCTCTCGCGAATTTTGATGTGCCAGCGATATTTACGCATCGGCGATTATACCGACTTTGACTCCCATTTTAGGCCAATTACAGTATTCCAGTCAACCAAAGTCTTAGCTATTTCACTAGTATTACTTCTATCGATTGAGAACAAGAAATCGCCAAGTCAACTGTTTCAACAACAAAATAAAGTGACCGGAAATTGGTAATTTGGCCAATTTAATGCAAAGTACAAAATATTCCAATTTCAAAATAGGGTCCAGAATAAACAATGCAGGCATTCCTGGCACTAAACTAACATTTTCTCTGTTCATTAGTTATGTTTTCAGGCTTTTCAAATGAATTCCATTTTACTTTTTATTCACATAATGAATTTTTATTCAAACCAAAAAATAGAAGATGTACTGTTATGCAATACTGTAATAATTGTATAAATAATATCACCACATTTCTGAACGTATATTAGATCCACCAGCTGTCATGTGTTAGACTTGTGAGGTCATTTGTTTACTCTTGAACATCGACAAAAATTTAACATTTCTGCTACTTTGAGCTCAATTTCAAGCCATTTCCAGTACTAAAACCAATCAAAATCATCTCTATTTCTGTAGATTATCTTCCATTCTATCACTTGAGACCAAGAAATTGCAAATACAGCTATAAAAAACATACGAAAAAACACTGCAAAGTCTCTGTTTTAATCGAAAATTACGGTCTGTTTTTTTTCTCTCATTATGCACTGTGTGCTGCAGGATTTGTTTTATGTGGTGCACACATACTACATAGATGTATTCTCTCATATCTAGGCCCAAATTTACTGATCACAGCTTATCAGAGTGAGCTGAGCTCATGGCGTAGATCTACGGTTTGGACCCTGAATGTAAATCCATAGATCTACGGCACGGACCCTGAAAGGGTTAAGACATAACTGTTATTACTAAATTTAAGAATAGAAACTTTCGTTTTTCTTTTTGGGCCACCCTACCTTGGTGGGATACAGCCAGTTTGTTGAAAAAAAAAAACTTGTTGAAAATAGAAGAACTAGTATACAGCCAAAAATAATCTTGGTAGTTTTCTTTGTTTTTTATTGTTTACAGTAATTTTTTTTTTTTTTAAATTAGCACAGATTGACTGTAATGCTTAATATGTTCTTGCTATATAGTCTTATATCTTCTTGTAACAGGCAATACAAAATTTGCTACCCAAAAGACTCTGAGTGTCCATCAGCGATCATATCATGGCTTTGAGCGGTACATTTATTGCTGTCCAATCTGCAAGACCTCGTTCCTCAGCATGTGGGCTGTCATTAAACACTTGCAACGATGTAAGTATACAATATACTTTTAGTGTCAGTTTATTCTGTCTTCATCAGTTACAAGTTTAACAGAAGTACCTATCCCTATTTATTACTTACCTCAAATAGTTCTGGCTCTGTTAAGCTTGCGTTCATTGTCACCCAGTAGTCAATACAGGCACCAGCTGAGGTCTTCTCAACCAATCCAGTACAGTTCACATCCTTTGTGTAAAGGGGACTGGGTCCACATATCTGTAAGAATATTTCCTCACCTGGTGATCAGTATCTTTGTCAAATACTGGATCAGCCAGGTTGTTGTGGATATGTTGGACAGTGGATAGCTAACAGCAACAGCTTGCTTGACCAAACAAGCAAGTTGTTGCTGTTGGCAACAACTTGCTTGTCTGGGCCAGGGCTGGGCTGTAAGAGTAAGAAAACTCTCAAAAAAGGTCATAGGTATATCTCAGGTTCGACCTTTCCCAGCTGTAGTGTCGACAAGGCTGGCCCATGGCCGAGCTCCAGGAGTGGAAAGACTCAGAACTCATCAAAGGTATATGGACTGGGGTGGGTCATGTGGGCATCAACTAATGAATAAGCACCACAACATTTAGGCCAAAAATGTTAAATTAAAATATCCAGATTACTCTGACATAATAATCTCTTACTGGGACTATTAAATGAGAGTAATCAATGGGACATTCCAATGTTGGTCCCTAGAGGTGTATATCACAAACATTTTTTCCATAAAGAATAAAAAGGCTGAATACCATGACTGGAACAGTACATAAATACCCCACACAAGGAAGAAACTTATAACGACATTTCGGTCCAGTTTGGGCCATTACCTAGTTTCTTTCTCCTCTGTGTGGGTTATTCGTGTATTTTTTCATACTTCAAATGAATGTTATATACATATATGTTTTTATTTTTTGTAAAGTTACGTTTCACTTATTAATTTCTTATATTTCATTCTTTACAGATCATAAGAAAACCAAGCATCAGACTGAACGGTTACGCAAAGTGATAAAGAAAAATGTTGACAAGAAGATGGTGTACCAGAATGAAGACCACAATGGGGAATACTGTAACATTAATCCACTTATAAAAACACAAACATTTCATGATGATGACGAAATTGCAAAAGAAGAATTAGAGATGGAAAATCAGGTATGTCTGTAATATAAAATGCTGTAGTCTTCTTTTTTCAGTTACTTATTTGTGTGTGGGGGAGGGGGTGAGGTGAGCTTCAGCTCTTGGTCCTGCATCTTAATGTTGAACAGATTAAGGTGCTTGAACCCTGTGTATATCTATTTTTGAACCCTTCTTTCAGTGTCATGTTCAGCTCATTCTGCTTCTTCATAACTCTTGCATTAATTTTTAGGTCACCCTTCCTAGGTGGGAGATGAACCATGTGTTAAAAAAAAAAAAATCAGTGGCTCCTCCTCATGTGTAAATTTCAACTATGCCCTTTTGTTTACTTTTCATCCCTGGCGAAGAACCTAAGGTTGTCTACCCTATATATGTCCCGTAGCATTTTATAGGTTGTGGTCACATTCTCTCGTGTTCTTCACTCCTCCAGTGCTGTAGAGCTTAATTCATTTTCCATAGCTCATGTCTTCAGTTCAAGCACCAGTCTTAATGTGCTCCTAAATTTCACTTTGCGATTTTCTATGTACCACACTTCTATTTTGTGCTCAAGAATGCTACCATTTGAAATAATGAGTTTTGATTGAGGCTTCCTCTAGGCTCCTGATACCTTTTCTTTATTTGTAAACATGAATGAACTTGACTTTGTTGCTTATGTTATTTTGTTGCATAAACTTTTAGGACAGGTTTGAAGTAATGGCTATTCCCTGGTCTTTGAAGTACAGGCAGGCCCCACTTATACAGCAGGTTAGGTTCCGGGCTACTGCTGTAAAGTGAAACATCGTCTGTGTTTTTTTTTGTTTTTCACTTTCAAATGCATGTTTACGCAATCATATAAAATGAGCAATAGAGCTAGACCTAAAAAAATCCACATACAATACACACACATTACTTACCTGAAAATATTTTCGTCCTTAGCTTATAGCGAGTGGTTAGGTTAGGTAAGGTTCATCAGGAAACAGAAGTGTTACCTGATGCTGGTCATAGTCAGATGATGATCCACCTTTGGAGTTTTTGGTCATTTGACCAAGGCCTTCCACTGGCTTACCAGTCCACCCCTTTAAAAAGTATGGTCATTTATAACCATTTTTGTCTATGAATATATAGCGAGTGTTGAATATATTTATTATAGGAAGCCAGAATAAATGAAAATTGGGTATAATTGAAAATCGCTGCGTTAGAGAAATGCTGTAAGGCGTAGCCCTGTAAAGCGGGGCCTGCCTGTAATGATTATTCTTTTGTCATTTCTGTGGTGTTTGCTTTTCAGATGTTACTCTGTTTTTGGCCTCCTTTCCTCATCTTTCATCTATATATCTGGAACAGTATGGAACCCATTACTGATTCTTGTGGAACTTCCTTAGTTACTCTCCGTTTCTGAAATTTCTTTTGTGTGATTCCTTGCTTTCTGTTCAAGTATTCTTGTATCGATGTTAGATAATTAAAGCATGTGAATTGGGAAGGTTACATTTACAAAGGGATTACTGGCTAGCCAGACTTGGGTCCTGGAGGTGGGAAGTACAGTGCTTACACTACATGAAGGGTGAGGATGTTACAGTTCAGAGGGTCATCTGAACCTTGAGATCACTGCACTTGTGGCAAGACACCAGTTAAGTGAATGATGGTGAATGTTTTTTAGGTCACCATACCTCAGCAAATATGGCTGGTATTGAAAGAAACAAGTTATTTTCATTTTTTCAAGTTGTAGTTTATTAACTATAGTGTAGGCGTGCCTCTGGCAAGACAGGGATGGAATGAGCAGTGATGAAAGTGTTTCTTCTTCACCGAGTCACCCTCCCTCGGTGGGAAATGGTTGCTGTGTTAATAATAATAAAATAATATTTACATGCAAAAACCTATCAGTTTAAAAAATATAGAATACATTATTTAATAGTACTGCAGTTATTTAAGGAAAATAAGTGCCAAATATAGAAGCTCTTTATTAGAATAGTAATGAAATAGCCTTCATCAGTAGACTTAATTTTCTTCATGGAGAAAGGACATTTGTTGGGAACCACCTAGGTGATGCATGATGGTAAACACCTAGGTGATGCATGATGGTAAACACCTAGGTGATGCATGATGGTAAACACCTAGGTGATGCATGATGGTAAACACCTAGGTGATGCATGATGGTAAACACCTAGGTGATGCATGATGGTAAACATCTAGGTGATACATGATGGTAAACACCTAGGTGATGCATGATGGTAAACACCTAGGTGATGCATGATGGTAAACATCTAGGTGATACATGATGGTAAACACCTAGGTGATGCAGATGGTAAACACCTAGGTGATGCATGATGGTAACATCTAGTGATACATGATGGTAAACACCTAGGTGATGCATGATGGTAAACACCTAGGTGATGCATGATGGTAAACACCTAGGTGATGCATGATGGTAAACACCTAGGTGATGCATGATGGTAAACATCTAGGTGATACATGATGGTAAACACCTAGGTGATGCATGATGGTAAACACCTAGGTGATGCATGATGGTAAACACCTAGGTGATGCATGATGGTAAACACCTAGGTGATGCATGATGGTAAACAATCTAGGTGATACATGATGGTAAACACCTAGGTGAATGCATGATGGTAAACACCTAGGTGATGCATGATGGTAAACACCTAGGTGATGCATGATGGTAAACACCTAGGTGATACATGATGGTAAACACCTAGGTGATGCATGATGGTAAACACCTAGGTGATGCATGATGGTAAACACCTAGGTGATGCATGATGGAAAATACCTAGTGATGCATGATGGTAAACACCTAGGTGATGCATGATGGTAAACACCTAGGGTGATGCATGATGGTAAACACCTAGGTGATGCATGATGTAAACACCTAGGTGATGCATGATGGTAAACACCTAGGTGATGCATGATGGTAAACACCTAGGTGATGCATGATGGTAAACACCTAGGTGATACATGATGGTAAACACCCTAGTGATGCATGATGGTAAACACCTAGGTGATGCATGATGGTAAACACCTAGGTGATGCATGATGGTAAACACCTAGGTGATGCATGATGGTAAACACCTAGGTGATACATGATGGTAAACACCTAGGTGATACATGATGGTAAACACCTAGGTGATGCATGATGGTAAACACCTAGGTGATACATGATGGTAAACACCTAGGTGATACATGATGGTAAACACCTAGGTGATGCATTTATCAATTGAACCCTTAAACTGTCCAAACGTAGATCTACGTTTGTGCACGTAGCGCTCTGACCTTGATTTTCTCCCTAAGAAAGAATGTAAAAAAAAATGTAGATCTACATTCGGAGCGCTTCGCGAGCGAACGTAGATCTACGTTTGGACAGTTAGAAGGTTAACAAAATTAATAATTATACTAACTCTTCAAAATGTAACTGCAGTTGAACCTCTCTTTAGCAGACTTTGGCAATTTTGAGCACAAAAGAATTGGCCAGACAAATGGAAGCATTGGACATAATGAGTAAAAGTCGGTAATTCTGGATTTTGTCCTATAGTTACTGGTTGTCTTGTGAAGTGCTGGATCAAGCGTGACAATTGTTTGTTCAGCACAGGTCAGAGAGGCCACACCCAGGACTTGTCTGCTTTCATTGTTCAGGAGCCTGGGGTCACCTGTGCCAGTTTTTGTGCTCCCTCATGCATACAGTTGTCTTTTCTTTTTCTCTTTTTTTTTTAATGTCGGTCATCTCCCACTGAGGCATGGTGACCCAAAAAGAAAGAAAAATCTTTCATCATCGTTCAACACTTTCACCATCATTCATACATAATCACTGTTTTTGCAGAGGCGCTCAGATGCGACAGTTTAGACGTTTAGATGTCACTCCAAACAGCCAATATCCCAAACCCCTCTTTTAAAGTGCAGGCATTATACATCCTATTCATTTAGTCCCTAATTTTTCCCTGGATTTGTGTAAAGTACAATGAACAATGACTTCTATAGCAAGTGGTACCAAGAAGAAACATGTGGTTCTAAGTGTTAAGCAAAAACCTGTCTGACTTATTTTTGGGTTATCCTTGGTACTTTACACATTTGTTAAAGTATGTATGATAATTGTGTTTGTGTACCTGTACCTAAATAAACTTGCTAAACTTGAACTAATAAAGAAGGTTGAGTCTGGCATCTCAATGGGACGGGTATGTGAGGAAGATGGTGTTAAGAAGCAGTGTCTTATATCCATAGAAACAAGGACATGTTCTTTAGTGTACATGCTAATGGAGCTTTATACCTCTTCCGACATAGAATAAACTATTGATAATGGTAGTTTACACCTCTTCTCTCCATCGTGAAAAGGTAAGCAGATTACTGTAAATTATGTTTGGTAATCTAAAATTACTATGTGGTACAAACTTGTGAAATTGTAATAACACCTAAGCCAAGAGGCTTACACACTGGCCAGAGTTTCAGGACACACTTGCCATGTTTTTTTATACAGTACAGGAGGGCCCCGCTTTACGGCGTTCCGCTTTACGGCGTTCCGCTAATACGGACATTTCAAATTATGACCAAAACTCACTATACGGCTCCCCCCACCTGACTTTCTAATACGGTCACCGTGCCCCACCCTGTTTGTTTACATTCTCCATGAGCTCAGTAAGCACTAAGTCTCTCCATTTTGTCTGGAAACTCCAAAATTTCAAATGTTTTTAAAAGTTATTTCATATTTTATATATACTCTGATAATTATACTTATGTATACCTGTACCTAAATAAACTTACATACATCGAGTCATTTAAATGTCGTATATTACGTTAATATACACATTTTCATTAATCCATCCATGATATTTTTTTCAAAATTATATAATAAACACGATGCATAACATATAAATAAGATAAATACACCCCACAGTAGAATAAATAAACAAATGTGAGATGTGAGCAGACGACTTGAAACAAGTGGTGATAATAACAATACTGAGTCTCATTAAATGTCGTATATTACGGTAATATACACATTTTCATTAATCCATCCATGATATTTTTTTCAAAATTAT